AGGCTGTAGACGCAGTAATTCCGAGTTTGTCACCCCTAAAACATACGTTTAGTATTAATAGTAAATGGGCAAAAAAAAATATTTTTATTCCATTTGAAGAATACAAAGCTCATGTGCATTTGCAATCTGATGAACAAAATCACGATTCAGGTCTAGGCGATTCCGTAGGTTCAGAAGTTCATTTAAGTGCGAATATTTGTAATAATATGGATATAAATTCGATTCAAGTTTGTGAAAAAAGGGGATTCCAGCAACAAAACATTAATGAAATTTTTGGAGCTAAAAATACGCGCAATATTAAATTTAGTGATACCATAACTGATGAAGAACGTGCAAATGAAATGACATTTTTTGATATAAATAATAAGACTCATGATGAATTTAGAAAATCTGGAACTGTCAGTGACGCCAAAGAAACAAATGAAGAATTTCAAAATTTGTGTGAAATTGAAACTGTTACGATATCAACCGTAACAACTACAACATATTTTACTACACAAAGTGATGGTATACAAATAGAATCCGAAAACTTTCGAAATATAAATGTTTTCCCTGATCATAAAAATTCTTTCAGAAATGGCTGCATTGTTTCTGGTTCAGCTTCAGAAACAAATACAGTAGAAAACAGTTCTATAAGCATAATTGAAAATGTCAGCTGCAGTTACAATAATCATAATATTATAGAAGTTTCTGCTTTAAATTCTTGTGAAGATTTGGATAGTTCTTGCAATTTGAGCATGGTTTCAGATAATGTTAATGTTTTCATGACTTCAGATGATTACATTTTCAAATGTTCATATGACGTTGAAAATGGTGAAAGTTTGGATTCCAGATGCGTTGGCAACTTGGACTCGAACTTGGGAAATAAAACAGACTGCTGTAAAGTAACTTATCCGACTGTGATAGACTACAAAGAAGCTGAAGACTGTGTACACCATCTTGATAGAAACGTCGAAAATGATTCGGATTATCCATCTGAAAAGGAAATTGGGATCAGTTCAGCTTCCGAATTTATTAACCGATTAAGCAAAAGTATTCATGCAGAGAATGACATTTTAGAATATGATAAAGAGTATGAACTAACTACGGAGCCCATTTCTAGTTTCGTTTCGCAAGAAAAAAATAAGTTGTCGAATCCAAAGTTAAATATTCGAAGGAAAACCTACTTGGTGAATGATTCCAGGAATACATGCATGAATACCGGTCATTTATCATTAAAGAACTGCAGAAAGGAAGAAGATAGTCTTGCGTCACCTTCTGATTCCCAAATCGCTTTTAATGAAATTTGTAACGTAGCAAATAAAAATGAGAAAATATCACAATCGTATGACAAAAATAATTATACCCGAGATTTTAGGACCAAGTTTCCTTCAGTGCCTGATGAACTGACACATTTTCCTATTAAATGTTGCATTAATCATGATCATGATAAGAATGAAGATGAAATTTCACTGACCAAAAAACTGGAGAAAATGAAGATTCCAAATCCAAATTGTAGTTATTCCAATGAATATTTAAAATTTAGTGAGAAAAAGAAGCCAGTTTTTCAGTCTAAATTTGTTTTGAAGGCTGATTCTAATTCGAAGAAGAAATGTGAGGATTTACATATTGGTATATCATCTAATAATGGTGCTAAATCGAACAAAAAAGACCGACATATATCATGCAAATTCAATGCATCCAATAGCGGTTTATTGCAATTCTCAGCTTCAAAAAAATTGCGAAACCGAAAAATCAGAAATATATCATGCAAATTAAATCCATCGGATCTCGCGTTACAGCATTCCTCAGAATTAAAAAGATTGCAATTACAAGAAATGATGAAAGCGAAAAAGGAAAAGAGGGAAGCAAGAACAGAGCGAACTAAGGAAAGGAGAAAACATTTGGAGAAACAAAGAGTAAAAAAACTTCAACAAAGTGAATTGCAAAGACGAAGAAGATTTGAAAAGCATGAAAGCGTGTTGAAAGAGAAAAGAGAAATTTTGAGAAAGAGATCACAGAAGAGAAAGTGCTGCAAGAAAAACAATTCAAAAACCGGCCCAAAATACACTTTTGTTGATAATCTAAATAAGAAAAGCAATTTTAAAACTAATAATGAAACTAATAGCTTTCATGAAAATGAACCAGATTTCTACATTTTAAATGATAATGCTTTTTATGATCCCAAGCTTTTCTTGAATCAGAGTGTAGTTCTTACAGATATCTTTCAAACTTCGTCTAATTCAAAAGAAGGTTAACGAAAACCAAGGCAAGTTCAAATTTCTACAGAAGGAAACGAGAAGCTGAATACTAAATTTCCAGTTAGTTTAGTTGATTTTAATAACGGTTGGTCTAACATGTGGCAGTTTGAACGCATGAATTCTAAAACCATTGGAAATACACGATATAAAAATTTTTAAATGCGATAAGTAACCAGTGCATTTGAAAGAAGTAAAAAAAATAGAAGAAAACATTTAAGAGAAAAGGAATAAGATCTTCCTCCGAAATTCATACCCAAAACTCCGATTGTACAGAAGCTACTGTTTCATCTCCCTTGAGTTCTTCAAGTAAAGCAGGAGATCTTAATTTTTTGCTAAAATATATCGTTGTCCTTGAAGATGCCATGCTCAGTAACTATGAAAAGATTCCTAAATAGTACTACCAAGCTATTTTCTAAATGCAACTGTGAACTATTCTCGAAAATTAGCTCTTGCATATGTTGAAGTAAAGTATGCTTATTAAAAATTATCTACAGAATTTTAATGCGCGTACTTGTTTCCTCTTTATCTAAAAAAATGCTATAGCTGCTGCTTTGTAAAGACTAAATTATATTTTTATTAAATGCAGTGCTTGAAATATTATTTACTAATAATATATAGGTAAATTAATTGTATAATTTGGTTTATATGTAAGATCTTTCGTCACTTTTTCCTTAAAATGTCACCTCAGAAAGGTACCGAAATGTTTTCTTGAGTACCTAGTAGGGTAACCATTCTTTAATAATGAAATTTTACAGTTGATTTACAGCATTTGATGGTTTTTGCTTTCGATTGATAATCACATGATACTTGGTATTTAATTTCCTTTTGATTGATAACCATATAACTTCTAATTCGTGAATTTTGTAAAATAAGATCATTTAAATTGAGCACATTTCTTCTTCGAATTTGTAAAATAAGTTTATTAAATAATACTGCTTTAAAAACTGATTACTATTGCTGGTTGCAAAACAGATTTAGGTACTTAACGTGTTATCTCTCGACCGGCCAAGTAGTATGATTTAACACCAATTATGAATTATAATTTCCTTTAGAGTTTTGTAGTAACGATTAGCGATTGGCGACCATTGCCGAAATTTCCGCCGGCGGTCGACGGAATACTATGTAAGTGCCTTCTGTAATTATGCATGTTATACTGCGAAAACCACGGACGTCATGTTACATATAATACCGTGTAAGAAATGTTATTTTAGTTTTAAACTAACCAGTTTTTTTTCAGGTACTTAACTTTTCTATTTTCCCTCATTTCCATTTCCTGCCGGAATGATATGTCAATTTCGCGTGATGTGCAATGTAGGGAGAAGGATTCTATTTAAGCGGGTGTCTGAATTTCTTTAGATAGAATGTGTTCTGCCATTCGGTCATTGCTATTTTAATTGCCGGTTTGTGTATATCGGTAGTAGGGCTAAGAGTCAACTCCCGATGATTATCTCTGCGCAGCTTCGGCTAATTATTTAACTTAGATTTAGCTTTAATTTTATGTTTATATTTATATTTGGAGTTGCACCCAAAAGTATTGGCTATGTTTGTAAGCACCAGAAGTGCCATCTGTAACTTGTCATTGATAGAGTTTGAACTTAGAAAAGAGTCGCTTCACAGTTCAAGTAAAAATCTGAACAACGAAGTAAATTTAATTTAACTAGAATCTTACGCCTTCTAACTTCTAATCTCATGCTAAGCTGAGGTGGTAATAACAGTATTTTAGCCTTAGAAAAGTGTTTTAAAAATAACTAATTTATTGCATTTGATTAACACACTATCAAAGGGTAGTTTAAAATTAGTTAAAATTCATCCTGAATGGAACTTCTGTTTTATCTAAAATCGCTTATGTATTTCAGGGAAGAGTGATATGTGGCACCTTTACAAGGAAATTATATGTTCTACATGTATTTTTTGAAATGAATGTACTGCGAAGAACCTTTGGAAATAAACTGATTCTAGTTGGTTTTACTTTTAAAAGGAATATTTTTTTAGGTCGATATCAATTTAAAATTGACTTTAAGCTTAATTTGAAGTTCGATGTTGACATTCTTTTCCCAAATACCGAGCTATACTTCATAAAGTTATTTTCAAACGATTATCTAAAAAAATGTTCAAAGAGTGGTAAGTCGTAAGTTTTTAATCAGAAGTTTATGCAATGTTTTTAACCCTTCGAACGCAGTATCCGTGAATAGCACGTTCGCCTTTATATGCGGGGAATGTTCTTATTGCGTCGCAGAAATTGAATTTGACCTGCCACCTGTTTCGGAAGAAGAAAGACCCGAATATTTCTTTTTAATCTTTCATGAATTTTTTACCTGGGGTTATAGGATTGACTATACTTCTTTGTTTTAGCGAGTTTATTGTTAGGATCGATGATGTTTTAATTTAACTGTTAAAACTTAATGCAAAAATGAGATTAAATGTATCTTTATAAAAACTTTCGACATGTTTCCCTCTCCCACGAAGTTCCATTATTTTCCACAAAACCTAAATAAAACTACGATTTCAATTAGCATTATATTACCCAAGTGGCAAAATATACAAAATCAAAAAACGTTTGATGTAAAAATTATTGATACAGAGTTATTAAATTAAGAAAGCAATTATTTAATACATAATTAATGATAGGATAACGTTCAATCAATCACAAACAGCAAATGAAACCAAACTTAAAATGATTTATGAAAAATGTTGGATAATTTAACAAATTGTTGAAAAATATATTTGTATTGAAGAAAATTTTTAAATAAATGCACTTACCATTTACTCATCCAGTTTTTATACTCGTGTGTAGTGGATGAGCTGAGATCCAATGCATCAACGTTCTTACTTGTAGTCCTTGTCGTAGTTTTCGAATACCTTTTATAATCATCCAAGTAGTCATAGCTGTATAAATCATCAGCGGTTCTATAAGTATAGCTGCTGTAAGGGCTAGATCTGTAGTAATAGGTGTGGAAAGGAGTGTTATAAATATATGTAGTAAGAGGAACCCAACGTTCTGTTACTGTCGTCTTCGTTGTTGTTGTCTTCTTAAGATCATTGTCATAATCAGTCGTGATCTTAGATGGAAGCGTTTTGTATTCAGTATCAGCTGGGAAAGTATAAGGGTCACTTGTAAATTTTGAAGGTCTATATCTTGGCTCAGGAGAAGGGGCCCTCAAGTGATCGTAATAACCTTTTCCATAATCTCTCGTATTTATAGGGGCATATAAGTCGTGCGTTTTTGAAGGTATTGGTTTTGGACCGGTTAATTTCTCTGCAGCAGGAACTCCACCATGAAGGTGAGATCCAGCGAAAGTATGCAGACCGAGATCCCCTCTGTCGGATCTGACATGGGTCTTGGACAATGTACTCCGATATTTCTTCTCAATATCATCCACTCCAGGAGAATGATATGAATAATCGTAAGGGTACATTTTATTCAACGGTTTGTGTTACAGATAACTGTCAAAATTCCTTGCGGCTATCTTTTAAACCGTAGTTCTTAAGTTCGATCTGAGAGAGGTCACAAGGAAGCTCTTTTACGTTGTGTTCTGAGGAGCTGGGTGGTTAGAATAAAAGGAGTCAAAGTGGTGAAGATGTCTGCTATTACGAACTGCCCACGCACTGAGTTGAGAGAAGTCGACGGTTTATTTTCAGACCTTCTCCGGTTTTCACTGTCCTTGGAATGGTGCTAACTTTTGGGTGTTTGCCTAGATGCGTCTTAAAGAGACAGCGTTGCACCTTCAGCTGCTAGGCATTTGTCAGATACTAAAATCAGATTAACTTGAATACCGAATTCCGCTCAGCTTTTTCTTTAAGGTCGTCTCGTTGTCGAATGTAGCAGTGTTGGTTTGGCTTCCATCTAGGCAAATGCGGAAATGTTTCTGGTTGTTTTTAGATTTCTAACCAAAGTGCCATAGAAGAGCCTATTGTAAAAACAATTTTGTCCTAAATAAGTTATCGTTAGATTAATATGGAGAAACGTAAAACTTAAACCGTTAAATTTTTAAAAAACTTAGAGTACACTATAGTACTAGAGTAGAGTGTTTAAAGAAACTGGAGTATTAGATAAACTGCTTCTGTTATGTGATACTTAACATACATTTTGGATAAAATGCTATGTTTCTTTCTTTCAGCTTTGAAAGTATATATTCATTGAAAAGTTTAAAATATTCCGAGTTGTTTGCATATACTATAACCAAACTGCATTTGGAAACTACTATTTTACGATAACGCTTGTCATTTTCACTTTAACTAGTTATTTTTCCGCTTCATAAATTTTATATTAAATTACACTTTAGCATATAATATTAAATTACACTTTAGCATATAAATTACACTTTAGCATATAATATTAAATTACACTTTAGCATATAATATTAAATTACACTTTAGCATATTCAGTAAATTATATTTTTAAAAATATCTCAAGTTTTTTTATCGCCTTCTATAATTAAACATATTTCACATTTTTTTACGACTGTTAGGCGCTTGCTTGTAAATATTATAAACATATTTCAGGTCAGCGAAATATAATATTAAATTACTGATAAATAATCGTTTAGAACCGAGCTAAAAATTTAAGATTGCGCATTATATTTTTCCTGCATTTCAAAATGATATCGTTCATATACGCATTGCATTTCTTTTTGCCAGAACTATGTAGCTGTTGGAAGTCCGTAATTTATATTGCCAGCTGCAATTTCATACTAATCACTGAGAAATTTACAATGCTTAGAACTCATATATCCAGAGTATTTCTACCTTACCTCTGAAATATGCGCTTGCCTCTAACTAACACTGTCAGGTATAAACATTTCGGCCTGAGTGCCTACCAGAATCCCGCTACACGTGGCAAGCGCTGTATGTGAATATCTTCCCCTAATTGTAAATAAATATTTATTATTGAATAAAAATTGTTAAACTCGTAACTAAGTAGATAAGTTTTAAATTTGAGGTTAATGGATTACCGTCCATCCCATAAGGAAACAGAATTACTATTATATTTTATAGTTTGACTGCCGCAGCCGTGGCAATGATTGCAGATGCGCATGGGCCATTCGGACCGACTTATTCATGAAATAGGAAGGATGGCCATGAATCATGCAGTTAGGACTTTTCCATGTTTTTCTCAGACCTTCAAGGAACACAGAATTAAGGCAGAAATTACCTTTAAGCAATTTAACCTTAAATATGATCATCATTTGTAATTAACTGCTTCATTTGTGTTGAATTTTGTACATTTCTTTCATTATTTATTTATTATCAAAAGTACGAGTATTTTCAAAACTTAATTTTGCTGTATATACATAATTTAATGATAAATTGTAATATATAATAATTTTTAATACAATAACTTAAGTGAACTTAACTTTACAGAGCAGGGTTTCTTAAACTTTTTTTCAGTCGCTAATTCCTTTTTATCACTGAAATTTTTCGCGACCCCCAGGACCCCATAATATTTACAAAAATTTCGTGGGACACCATACGTAATGCACAAATCCGACACACGCGTGAGTGAAACTGTCAATTTTTTCACCTGTACTGTATTGAAATTTTAGGTCATTAACTTTTATTTCTAATTTTAAGACATAGAACAATGTGAAAATTTTAAATAAGTAACAGACGAAATGACAGCGTCACGTGCAAAGCAAAGAAAATGACCGTTTATATTATAAAAAGAATTCGTCGAAACGTTTTCGTTTTTTTGTTTGCATTGTCTTATCTTTATCTATTTTCAGATACATTGTATAAAAATATTTGATAATTGTAAAATTACTATACTAAGTTAAAGAAATGTCAAAACTGCTAAAGTTTTTGGCGATCCCTTGCTGCAGGTACCGTGACCCTGAAGGGGCTCGCGACCCCCAGTTTAAGAAACCCTGGTGTAGAGTATCATTTAATTTTCTAACCAGTTATTTTTAAGTTGGTATAGATCTTTCGCATGAAATCTTATCTCATTTTTCTACCAGAATGCAAATTTCCAGCAAGCACGATATTCAAGTTAGGTAGAAGAAGAAAGTGTTTAAAGGACAATTTTGGGGGTTAAATCAGGGCATGTTCTGCCTGCTCGAAGGCTATGATTTTACTTTGATTCTCTAGCGATTAGAATTCTGAGGCGTTGAGTTTTTATTGTCATTAGGCTTGTCTAAGCCGACTTCAAGTCAGAGCCAGCATGCGCGATAGTTAAACTAGTATTAAGCGATTAGGCTATACTTAAACTCATCAGATTTTAACTTATTCATTACCTTTTCATTTAAGCCAAAAGTGTTGGCTTTTGTAAGCACGAGTTGATGCCGACGGTTAAACTTTATTTGAGTTAATAATAATACAGACATAATTCACCAGACTTAAACGTTGCATACATTTATGATAGCTAATACACGATTTACAACTGTTATATTTTATTGTTAACTTTCATTGTATTATTAATGCAATGAGTTTTGGCAATGTTATAATCAGTTATAATAACTTTCTGATGGTAAATAATTATTAGAATAATATAATATAATTAATAATTATTATGTATATTTTTAATCTCTGAGCTTATTATTACACGCTGCAAGAAGAAATTTTTTATAATTTTTTATAATAATTTTACAGTAATAAAAATTATTAACGTTATTTAATTAATAATGATTATCTTACTATAATAAAAAGTAATGACGTTTCTTTTTACTTCCTTGTACGAAGTAAAAAGGAAGTATTGTAATCACGAAACGTTTCAGGCAGCATATTTCAACGAAAATATCCATTTTGACCGCTATCGAATGCAATTTAACGATGCTTTTTGCCTGATATGTATACGTAAGGACAGAATAAAAGACTCGTTTCCTCCAAAAAAATTATAAAATTGCTTTAAAATTAATTCTGAAGAGAATTTTTCGTGTCGTCTGTACGAAAGTATGTACGTACGTGTGTGCGTACGTACGTATCTCGCATAACTCAAAAACGAGTAGCCTCAGAACGTTGAAATTTTGTATATAGGACTGCTATAACATGTAGATGTGCACCTCGTATTTTGGTTGCAATCGGCCGAACCAAACGTATATAAATATTTTTATATATATATCCACTCTGTTATCCGGCTCAGTGATTTCAGTTTCTTTACTCGTATATGTTTGTAAATTGTACAATTTTTGCTTTAAAAATGATTGAATTATGTCGTTTTTATCTTCCGGTTAAGGTTTTTATGCCTTTAGTAAATCTGTATGCAATATTTTTAGAATTATCAACAATTTTAAAGTCGTTTAAGTGCCGCTAAGCCTTTTTTTTATGGCGGCCATTGATTGCTTACATTTGAGACAGCAGACTAGTGGATTTGTTGCCAATCTAGAGAAACTTAGCTTCGCAGCAACAAAGATAACGCCTTCATTTATTATTGCCAATTAAAGCATGCTTAATTCTTTCTGGAATTTTTTCGAGGAAATAAGTGTTTGAGATTTACTTCGTAATTTTTAATATAGATATTTTGAGTTTTTATGTATTTTTGCCTTCTCGCGAAGAGAGAACTGAATTAATTGAATGAGAAATACTCAATCGTCTGTGAAAAACTGTTTCTTTTTTGTTTTGTTTGCTTAATTTCTTTTATACATCATTATAGCTCTATTATAGTATTTGAATAGAACATGTGGCAACGATTAGATAATTGTATTCCTTAAATGATATAAATTTTGTGCATTATGAGTTATGATATGAACGAAATATATACGTTAACTGTTTATATTATTGGATTATATAACAGTTACTTTGTTTCCGTTATATAATTATATAAGTTAACTGTTATATAATTATTAACACTGTTAGGAATCTAGCGCAGAGTGTCGCTATGGTAACAAATACTAGAGTGAATTTTAAAGAATGCATTTATTCTATTGTGGTTTATGGCGGCTGTCGGCGAAGTAGATTTAATTCAATCCAATAAGTTTAAATGAAATGCAAAAAAATGTGTATAATTTAATATTCCAATTTAATATTCCAATACAAGGAAGTCATGTGGTGTACACATCAGATTTTTTCATTAGGCCTTTAGTTACGCTCAGAAGTTGTTTTAGGCTGTAAATATCTTGTTCAAACCCTCGATCATTATGTCAAACAAACGAAAAATGACGACTCAGCCATTCCAGCTAAAAACGTTCACAGCACTCGTTCTTGACGTAACTGTGTTTCTAGTTCAATTGTAACATCTCAGCAAATCTGTATGTTTTTTTTTTAATTAAAGAAAGCTAAAAATATAAAGCAGAACAGAAAAAGAAATTACACTAAACGAACTTCAAGAACTTTTATCATATCTGTCTTCTTCAGCAATCATCTTGAATGCATCTGCTTGTCGATGTCTGAACAAACACAATTAAGAGAATTGATCTAATGTAACTTTATCATTGCACCTCACAATGTAATGTTTGTTTGGAATTATTTATGTGTAAAATTATTCTCTCACTTTCTTTGCACTTACTCGAAACGAAAAGCATTAATTTGGTATTAAAATGCTGTGTGACACAGCAGACCCTCCTATTCGAAGTCTAATATTTCTTTATGTTACTCAGAAAAAGTGCATGTGACAAAGAAGAAGAGGAGGAAAAGATGATCTTGGGACAGACTAGTGAAACGTAATGGCG